ATTGAGTGACCTCTGCAACTAATATTTGAGTTGAGTGACCAAAGTGTAACTTGGGGTATAGTTGAGGGACCATTGCTGCGAATAACCCATTAAAAACAATATACCAAGTATGCCAAAAAAAGTATTGGGCTCTGTTCTTCAATCCTATACTGTGCATGGAGATTAAATAATACATCAAACATGCAGAGAGTAGCACAATCTCAACCTGAATCTGAAGTATTTTTTTATAGATATGTGGTACGATTTATTTTTCATTGAATTCATGAACCAAGTATATGTTATATAGCTTCTCTAGGAACAAAACAAATAGAAACGACAGACAACTCAATCAAGAAACGACAATCATCAATCAGTATACCCACATGGGCGTGATCATCCCTGGGTACTAATATTATTTGTACTCTTTAATGCAGAGGGCACAATTATTGGTGCTTTATATTAACAGTCACGTGGCAATCATAATGAATTTGATTTGACTCATTTTTCTTTACAGGAATTTCCATTGCTCATAAAGCATAATTTTTCTTTTTTTATGTCCTTTGCTTAATACATTATAGGTCTTACACTTTTTTGTCATTTTTGTTTATAAATCTTAGGGGGTGTATTCAATTAGGATTCTAGAGCGTTTAAAAATATTTTAAAAATTCGGGTGTATTCAATTTGGATTTATACAAACTTTTAAAAAGTCTATAACAGTTTGGGTGTATTCAATCTAGACTTGTTTGAACTTTTAAAATGTCCATCTAAATGTGGGTGTATTCAATTAGGACTTGGAAAAAGTCCAAATAAATTTACCTATATTTAAAAGGAGATAGATTTGGAAGGATTTAATTAAGTGTTGGAGTTTAGAGAATTTGTAGGGTTTAGGTATAAATAATAAAGGCCAACGACAAGAGGTCCTGGGTTCGATCCCAGGCGCTTGCGAATAGAGCAGACTTTGTTGGGAGAGGTCCTCGCTTTGCGCCCGACAGTACCTCGAGGGTTAGTCCCCGCAATCGCGCGGGGGATACCTTGGTTTTCACCAAAAAAAATAAAGGCCAACATAAATCCAACCTCCACCCCAAAGATTTCATACAACATGTTTTTTTTTTCTCTCCGCGTTAGAAAATTTTCCATTGTATGGCAAACAATGCACTAAGCCATGCACTGGCCTTGGGTGGTTACAAGCGTCTTGTATTAAGCAAAGCTCCTCAATTAGTGATTTCTTCAAGTCAACTAGTTGGAGTTGCTGGACGGAAAGCTTGGCTAGATATTTCTCGATCTCCAATACCTTCCCCTGGAGATCATCTTGGGGTGAAGCCAACGTCAAGGCGGTGGAAGGTTGAGATATATTTCCATCACCAGTGGCGGATCCATGAATTTTTTAGGGAAGGGGCAAATTTAAAAGGCTAAAAGCTCCATAAAATTATTTAGACAATATCAAATAACCTTGAATTTAAACAATACTAATATCATTCATAATTTATAGAAAGAATAAAATTACAAACAAATCTTCGATGAACTCACTTTTAATATCTAAAGTGGGAGAGAATATCTCCTATTCTCAAATATCTATAGAGATCTCATCAACTTGCTTTTAATTTGCTTTGCTATGTTTGGAGTTTCTTCAATCTAAAGTGACAATATTTTGAAAGACGAAGTATGGAGGGTAGGCGTTTTTGATCCCTTAAAGTGAGGCATAAGCTTTGAGACATTGAGGTGTAAACCTTTTGAACTTGAATTATTTTAAAAAGGAATATATATAAAAAAGATATGTTACTCATCTATTTAACACCAAAACATGAAGATGACATGACTATTAAAAAGAAAAAATAGATATGACATTTTTTTAAATAAAAAATTTAGAAAAGAGATGGCCTATTAATAAGTATTATATATGTTATGAAGTGGGCATGAGAAACTATACTTGTTCAATTAATAGTGAATTCCAAACTGCACCTCCTCAGACTCAGACTTTAAGGAATTTTGCGCCTTTGTGGGTCCGCCACTGTCCATCACCCATAACACTACCAGATGATAGGGCCCTTGCTTTTTGGAAAAACAGTTGTTTTTTTTAATTGAATTTTTGGACGAAGAGTTTGCTGTTCATGAACAAAATCAAAGGGAAATTTCCAACTCGTGGAAATTTCAAAGGGAAATTCATTGTTGTGGACGCAAGTAGAGGAAGAATTTGGAGAAAAAAAAAAAGGGATGGTCAACTAGTGGCTAGGTCAAGATAGTTTAAAGAAAATAGTGTTGGGAAGAAAGAGTGATAAAAGAAAATAGTATTGGGAAGTCTATGCAAATATATCTGAATCTATAACAAAAGTTCATACAAAAGTATGAAAATCTATAATAAAAGCCTGTACAAGTTTATTAAAAATCCGGGTAAAACCTATAGGAGTTATACAATTCCAGGAAATCTGTCACTTAAAAAAAATCTTTCAAAATCGTATACAATCCTAATTGAATACACCCCCCTAGTTATATGTAACATACATTTTACGACTTATCCTTTTTAAGTACCTGCATTATAGTTAACATACACTTTGCAACTTATATTTTTATGCACCTGAGTTAAAGCTGTCAATGGATTGAATTTTGATCCAGATCCGATCTGAATTCGATGTAATTAATAGGAGATTAATTTGGTGGCATAATTCGATAATTCGATTATGTTCCGAATCCTTTAATCCATTAAGTTAACGGAACACATCTGAATCTTGTCTAATCCGATTTGATATAATATATATATTATTTTATTTTTTCTTACTTAATATATATATATATATATATATATATATATATTTAAACTTAACAATATTGTAAACTTTGGATTGCAGTGGCATTCATCGCTATTTCCCTTCTTCTTTTTTTAATGGTAACAACTATCACTTTATTTTCAATATAAACTAGATGAAAACGAGTCTACTGAATTTCCATGAAAGAGAAAGAAAGAAAAAAGCTAGAGGGAGACAAGGGCTCGTTTGGGAGTGCTTTTGGAGCAGCGAAAAGTGCTTCTAAATGGGG